CTCCGCGCCCCGGCCTGCTCTGTCACCCCGGCCCGAGCAGCATCCGATTCTTTTTCTCGTTAACAGTGACCCAATGGCAAGCTCCCCAACACCCAGGGGACGACTCCTCCGAAGGTGCTAGAAAGAGGCAGAGAAGTCCGTTCTCCCTCAGAAGGCCGGTCTGCCCTGGGAACAGGCAGGAGGGCCGGAGGGGGGCAGCGCCTCGCCGTCGCCGCGGCCCTGCTCGCCTGAGCTGCCCTCTCAAGGTGGAGGGCCATTTCGTCCCCACCCCGTTCCCAAACGAGGCCTCGCGTTTTGACCACGAAAGGTCGACTCCAAAGACCGTGAGATGGGGGTTCAACATTGCCTGGACCTACGGGGCTGCCGGCTGTGAGAGCCTCCTTCCCCACCCCCATCCCTGGAGGTACATTGGTCAATTATGCTTTCTGCGCCCCAAACGCATACCAATTGCTTGGACACTTTGACATTTTAAGCATTTCAGTCTCATAAGATAACAACAGAGAACCCCAAAGAGGGTGTTCTTGTAGAATCTGGCGAATTGGAAGCAACAGCAGTTGGTGAGCTGGTGACGGGGAGGGAAGCCGCCATGGAAGGGAGGTTCATTTTTGCAATGCTAACATGCTTTTTCTTCTTTTTTGGAACCAGCAGGGATGGAATTACCATTTCATGTTCATGCCTTGCGTTGCAAAGCAAAGGAGAGGTCCAAAGCAGTAGTCGGTTGGAGGGGTCAGATTTGGGGGGTGCCAGTGTTGAGTGCCCTGGGCTCAGATCCCCTGCACAGGCCAAGGTAAACTCACGCTCTCCCCGGTCTGGACTAGGGGGTTTGAATTTTCTCAGCGAAGCGGCTCTTTCGTGGCCTGACTGAGGGTCTCGTCCCGGGGCGTCCGCAGGAGGAGGCGGGAGCCCAGGCGACACGCGAGCAGGCCACGTGGCTGTGCCCCGCTGAGGCTCTCAGCTTTGGTCCGGGGAAACCCAGGAATCTGCAGCGCCTGGGGCCTGGGGCCATGAAGGGCTCAGCCTGCTGGGGGAAGTGAGGGCAAGAGGCAACCCTCTCGTGGGGGGCGAAGGAGGCTGTGCTTTCTTGGGAGTGGCTTAGGCGGGAGCCCAGGCGACACGCGAGCAGGCCACGTGGCTGTGCCCCGCTGAGGCTCTCAGCTTTGGTCCGGGGAAACCCAGGAATCTGCAGCGCCTGGGGCCTGGGGCCATGAAGGGCTCAGCCTGCTGGGGGAAGTGAGGGCAAGAGGCAACCCTCTCGTGGGGGGCGAAGGAGGCTGTGCTTTCTTGGGAGTGGCCACTTACGGGGGTTTGTCTATCACCATTTTTACAAATATTCAGAAACAATGACCACAGCGTGCTCTCTGGCCTGCCTCCCGAGTCACTGCTTTACTTTAAAATCAGTGCCTGTCTGTAAATCAAATTCGACTTGACCTCCACTTAATAGTACTCAGGCATGTCTCCTTAAAACAAAAGGCACTCTGATAAGTCACCCTATGTTTGCATCTTCTGCCTGTAGGACTTTATCTCTTGGAAACAGAGATTCTGCCCTACTCTCTACCAAGTGTTCTTCCGTGCAAATCTGAATTGAGTATTCTCTGCAATTCTTATTTGAAAGTCGCTGCTGAAATCTTGAAAAATTTCTACCGTTTACTATCTTGGTTGTTTTTTTATTTTTTATTTAAGAGATCAATCTGAAATCTTAATTTTGTTTTATTTTTTCCCCTTTAGTTGAATTCTCAAAAATAAAGAGATCAAATATTTGGATGCTTTCCTTTGTGGCTGTGGGTAAGCAAGACAGGCAAGTGTGGGCAAAGTGTAAAGAAAACCATACCTGACCAAGGGGAATTGGTGTGGAGGTCCGGGAGCTGAAGATGGGGGCAGAGAAACCGGGCCCAAGACAGCGCAGCAGGCAGGGATCATTAGCCAGCCGGACTTGCAAAGTCATCAATCTCTAAGACTAGTTCTTAAACAAGTGAGCCCAGCCCTTCTCCAGGCACTAAACTTCCAGAGGACGAAGAGCTGAGGGCCATTACAGGGACCCTCAGGGCTGAAGCAAAGCTCTGGATGACAGAATTCTTAGAAGAGGGTTTAAAATGAATAACCTAACTAGAACCATCCCAGCACGAAATCTTCCTGACCCAGTCACAATGAATGACTTCAGTTCTGAGAAGAAATTTCTCTTGAACTCTTCCAAAGAGTGGAGTATGAAGATGAGACTGGTTTCTGGTTGTTCAAAGGTTACTTTTTGAGGAGAAGGGTGTAGCTTGTGGGATGAATTATCTCCCAGAATGTCTGGGGCTGGATACTCCCTAGTTTGCAAACTACAGTTTTCTGATGGGATTGTCCATCTCACTTTGCTCATTCATCTATAGCCATATCCTACCTAACATTATATCTAACAATTTTCTTAGCTACTCTTAGAGTAAAAGCGGGGTCCCTTTCTATGCGCTGAGGAGGCAAATGTTGCATACGTTGTAAACAATAATAACGATAACTTCAAAAATACTCAGTTTAACATATGAAAGCTAAGTTTTAAAAGCCTAATGTCAAAACGCTTAAAAAACAGTCTTTGAAATTTCCCTTTGAGCCTGAACTCAGCCTGACTTGAAGAATGTAAGTGAAGCGCTACCTTCTTTGGCAGTACAGTATTAATTGCAATTTAATCTTTTTTGCCTAGTTCTACAACTGAAAACAAAAAAAGTTTTCCTTTTGCACTGGATAATTCAAAATGAGCTTTGTTTTCAAACTGCAAACTTGGCATGTTTGCAGTCCTGCCTGAGGAATGTGTGCAGTGTTCAAGTTTTTAAGAAAACTGTTAGAAGTAACAGAGTTAGGAATCTCATACTGAGCATATGCAATAAGTATGTATGTAGCTATATCTTTAAAGTTTGAATATGCACTGGCATTCTCTTAACAACAGACACTTATAAATAATTTTAGAGAAGGAAAAGAAACACACATACACACTATGAATCTCTTAGCAAGCTGGTAAGTTTTGCTATATTGGGTCTTGCACAAAAGATAAGTAATTGAATCTGTGTCTACTCTTTCTCACCAATCTTTGGATGACCTACCACCTGCTTGTTGGCTTAGAGTTCTGTGCAATAATTTCTCCGAATTGCATGAATGAAGCACAGGATCATTCACACAGAAGGGTGCGCAAATTGGAAAAGGCTGCAGTGAGTGTTTGTTCAAAGGTTACTTTTTGAGCAGAAGGGTGTAGCTTGTGGGATGAATTATCTCTCAGAATGCCTGGGGCTGGATCCTCAAATGAGGCTGCACATAGATTCAGTCTGGTTTAAGTGAGAGGATTTATCAAAGGGCAATATAAAGTTTGTGTCAGCACAAGTGATTTTGATAACTTTGTGCAAGAACAGATTCGTTCTCTGTGACACAGGTAAGCTTAATGATGTTTGAACACCTTGCCCTAACTAAGGAGTCATTCTCTTTCTCTTTTACTGATAGGCTAATTCATGAATTTAACTGATTCTACCTTTCTCTTTCTGAATTTCTTAAAGAAAAAGAAACCAAAGTTAGAAGGAACTAAAATTTGAAGCTTGCAATCCAGAAATAAATTGAAAAAAATAAAGCACAAGAAATTGAGTTGCCAACACCTCAAATGAGCAAATCAGAATTTCAAATAAATATTCATTTTTCAAATATCTGGCATTGCATCACTCAAAATGAGGATGAGATAAGGAGACATAACTTGCCAGACTTGTAGGGAGAGAAGAATTAGAGTGTGGAAAAGTGTGGAGTTTTGAAAAACCTCCCCCCAAACTCTTTATTCCCTTAGTCTGTGCCCATCTTTGCTGCCAATTAACGATGAAATGCAGTCTCACTTTACTTATTTCAAAGAATTGTGGCAATAATTGAAGAAATAATGAAAGAAAGTCAGTTATTCATAGAGGTTTTTATCATGGCCACAATCTTCCTACATCATATGCATTTTTACCTCCTTTTTAATCATCTGATACTCCAGCAATTTAAATATAAATCAAATGATTTACATTCTGTGTTTTTCCAGTTAAATTTCCCTTTCTCATTACAACTTTCATCTCTCTTCACTTCAAGGAGTTTCCTTTTTTCTCTAATGGCTTTTACTGAAGTCTTAAATCCTGTATTCATCATTTGGGTTGATTCTTTCTTCAGAAAACATGTTGTTTTTGCTAGTGACCACAAGAGGACACAATTTCCCAGAGAACTTCGTTTAAAAAAAAGCTTGTGCAAGAGGAAAGCTAAAAACATAGCAAAAATACTACACAATCAACGAATGTCATTTTAGAGATGTCTAGTTGATTTATGTCACTTTTATTAATTTTTAAAAACAAACATGAGTTGGCATTCAAGCTATAGATTTTTTGGAAAAGTTAATATATATTTTTTATTGTAGAACATAAAAGAAAAGTATACATTAATGAAAATATACTAAAATACCATTTTAAGGGATAGTGTTTATTTTACATTAGCAGAATTTTGTACAAACTCTCACTGACCAGGAATTTTATTTTCTTAACTTTAGAGCCATGTTTGGCAATGTAAAACAGTTTTTAAAATATATATGATCATTCCAAAATGCCTTTGAAAGTTTAAATTTTTAGTTTGGGCATTTGGAATGCCTTTAATTTAAAAAAGGTTACATGGAAATTATGTTTTATGTTCTGTCAATTAATTTTAATTCACACGGTAGGTTAAGACCTAAAATTATGTTTCCAAACATATAGGAAAATAAGATATTTTAAAAATATTGACTCCCAATACTTTCCCAGAATTATTAACACAGAATCCTTTACTTAAGATTGTCTTCCTTTTTACTACTACCTCTCAAGAAAGGTTTCAGGGTCTCTGATTACTTTGTAAATTAAAGTAAATTAAAATGAATAATGTCTTGATATTTTTCTGGAAGAATTTTATAGTTCTGGTGGCGTGCCATGACTAACTGAGCTGGGGCATTTCGGGTTCAGTTGGAACCCAATGCTTTTGTTTTGCATTTGTGTCTTCTTGCAGATAAATTTCTCATCACTTTCTCTTATCTCTGCTGGAGGGACTGAGCAATGGACCAAAAGACCTGGGGGGGAAAAGAGGAAAAGACAAGAGAGAAAAAGTAAAAATAAGGAAGCAATGAAGAGAGAAAGAATCTGGAGAGAGGGTAAAAGATGGAGCTGGAGCAAGTGAGCAAAAGGGAGTTGATGGAGAAAAAGAGAATGAGGCTTGATATGCAGGAGGAATAAAAGGCTTAAATGACGTCAGAGAAATAATTGCACTTAGTGGGGAATAGAAAAGCACCAAAATTATTTGCCTCAGTTTCTGCTCAAAGAGATTTTTGTAAGTAGCTACCTGTTCCTTATTGTAGACATTTAGTTTTAAAAATCCATGTCACTGTCACCCAAGCCATAAC